GAGACATAGCCATGCCTATGCATGGATCTTTTGTAAATTTTTATCGTAATTGCTCTTTAAATTAACGATTTTTAGTTATTTACATTTAGTAATTAAATTAAGATTTTAGTTTAATAACTATTTGGTCACATATCAATAAATAATTAGAATTTTGAGACTTATTCTTAATATTAAATACGATCATTGATGATTGGTACTTTGATTGGTACAAAACTTGCCCCTGCCTTTCATAGTAAAAACGATGATAGATACCTCTAACTAACCAACATCCTCTGACAAAACCCAAACTTTTGTATGCTTAAAACATATCAATAATTCAGTAATTAAGCAAGAGATCGATCGATAAAAGAAACTCACCTGAACTACCACCGGAGGAATCTCAAGAATATTACGAGCACCGGGAATGTCGTAAACAAGTTGGTCAAGCGTCTCCATTCTATTCACAGAGATAGCTTCTTTGACTTTTTCTATCCCACAATTAGCTTCAGCTTCCACGACCACTACTCCTTCTCCGGTGCAATTCACGGCGATCTTCCCCTCCGGGCTGATCGTCAGCCTCCCCGCGACAGGATAGTAATGAACAAGAACCTCTGAGAGGGATTTCTTGATCACATTGTAGGATTCTTCGTTGCTTCTTGACTCCGATTTGAAGTAATATAACGTTTTGACGATGATGGCTATGTTTTGATCGAGATTCGAGAGATAGTGAAGACCCTTTGGAGTTTTTGACACCGGAGGGACGAGTACATGGTCTTTTCTAGTTACCACGAACTCGAATGATTCGGCCATTTCTAGGTTTTGCGATGAACAAATAAAACGTTTGGTTATATATAAGTTTTTAAATCCAATTGAGAAAGTGAGGAATGGAGATAGATCTTGATATATGTATTTATATGGTGTTTTTAGACTGAAGTGATATATAACGTTTTGACACAGATGGCTGATGGTTATGTTTTTGAATCGAATTAATGGAGAAGTGAAGAACCAAGAATGGTCACGATATAGTGGGGTTAAGTAGACATTAGGGTTTAGGTATCTTGTTTAACAAGTGAAAATTGTATAGCTAAATAGATAAGAGGAAAAGAGAGGTGAATAAGGACCACTAAACTCTGGCGACTTCAATATAATTTTGGACCGTATATATGTGTAGGACCTGCAAATTACGGATATGAAAACTGCGATAATTATTTTTATAATCGGTATCGAAAATAAACGTTTTGGAAATCCGATTGAAATGAAACCGTAAAACATAGAGGTTTTGTGAGAGACAGAGACCAATTCACGATCGATCTGAACGTTCAAAAATCGTGACACGTGAGAGGAATTGGCGTAAGACTAGGTCAAACCGCAACTCTTATTCGAAAATTCTGAACATAATTCATGGTACAAATTTGCTAACAGAAATATATTTGCATGCATCATACTGCATTCATGTTTTAAACTTCAACATAAGTTATCTTCTTTTCTTTTTTTTTTTAAACATCCTTAGTTATGTGAGACAAATAGCCATTGCTTATATCATTATCCAATTTAGTTTTGACATTAAATATAGCCCACTTTATTTGTCAACAATATGGACGGCTGGTTTAATAAATTCGTATTTATTGAGTAATTGGTTGGTTGATCGATAGGAGTGATTTATAACAATAGGGTCATATTTGATGTAACGGTTCTATTATTACATCACGAAAGTCAATGTTGGAAATTTTCTTTTACTTATCGAGGAGTTTTAATTAGGTTCGGCATCAAATTTTAATATAGTATTAAATCGTTCCTTTGATTAGAAAGTGGCCACTTATCGGATTCGAGAAAATCATTTGTCGATACCGAATAATTTGCAGATTTGAGATTAGTGTGTAAATACTCAAGATTTGTAAATTGCATCACGTGATTCACTTGTGAATAAAAGCTAGATGTAGAAACACTGAAGGTGAACACGGGTATGTATATAAAACTACCGCAAGCCCAACCTTTACAAACTGTCGCAGATTTTTTTTTTTGCTAAACAAGTGTCGCAGATATCTTTTTCATCTAATTAATTATCTTTTGTCAAATGTCTTTATGTTTAAAATGAACCCTCACCATTGATGGGCGAAGCACTTGCAATGCGGCTGGCCTCTTTAAAGCTAGAGATTCAGGAATCCTAAAGATATGAGTACACTCAGATTCCCAAATTCTAATCGGTGCAGTGAAACTTTCAAAATCCAATCAAGGAAATCTTCGAAATTCTCCAAAACATTCAAAGATAATCACGGACTATCATACTATTCAATAACAAAAATACTAGTAATCGGACTTCCTATATCCTCTTTTTATAACTTCAACATGAATTTAATATCTTTACGTGTAAACTCATGCAAACACAAACTATACAGGATAAGTGGCCACCGAAACCAAAAGTCTTCTAAGAGATTAGTGATAATTTGTAATCGATCAATACATATTCTAAAATCAATGTTGGTGGATGTTATTTGGGTTATTATTTTTTGTGTATATACTCTATTAATGAGCTGTGATTGATATGTACGTACGTCTCCAACACCCTCAACTCACAACTTAATAAATTTATAAGTAACACATACCAAAGTATCTTATTATATAAAATAGGATGTGCGCGATGAAAACACGACACGTAAGCAAAACTATAACTCACCAGATCGCGACATATGTAATTGCTAATTAGATTGTGACACATGTCAGTATTAACAAAATATAAAAGATAAATATATAAAATATATTCTAAACAAAGATTATAGAGCAAATAACAAAAAAGAAAAAAATTGTCCTACCAAAAAAAATAATATTTCTAAATTGTCATATTACAAAAAATGCATTCTTTCCATTTCAAATTATCTAAACTTTTTCAACAACAATATTTTTTTTTATCGAATTGTCGAACAAAAAAAAAACAAAAGGAGATGTCATATTGTAAGTGTCATTTTGCTAATATAATAATGTGTACAGTTTAGTATGAGATAAGTATAATAAATTAACGATTTAATAAGAAAATAAAATTTTAATATTTATGCAGGATTTTATAACTCACGAAATCGCGAATGTATCTAATATTGATTAGATGATGACATATTTTAACACTTAAAATTAATTAAGAAAAAATTAAAATAGAAAACTAACAAAATAATTTTCAAGTTACTAACCAAATAGTAAAAAGTAAAATTTTTAATAATTCATACTAATTAAGAAAACAAAATTAAGATGGAATATGGAAAAGACATAAGCCAACAAAGAAAGAGATAATACATACAAAATAAGAAATAATTTAAAATAAATAAAAAGACGAATAATAAAAAAAACGTACAAAAATTAGAAACAAAGTTAGAAAGGTTACAGAAACCTCAACTTAAAAGTGTAAGATACACATGACCATGCAATAATAAAATTAAAAAAAAAATCTATAAGCTTACCTATTTTATGAATATAGAGTTATAAAATATCACAAAGAAAATATAAATCTTTGACCTATGTCGCCATTGGTACTTTCGAGTGTTAGATTCAAGAAAATTGTATATATTGAAAATTTATATAAGATAATTAATAATATTATATTTACTATTAAGTTAATAGTGTATAAGGTTTGACGAGTATAAATCTTTATGAGAAATAAAACGATGATATTAATGAAATACAATTATCAATCATAGACTTATGTGATGGTTCACAACATTATTTACAGTTTTATGAGTTTACTAAAATTAAATTTACTCTTTTCTGATTTAATTATATAATATTTAATTATTTTCTGTTTCTATCACATAATTCATAAATATTTATAATGGGTAAAAATATATATTTTCTTTGTTATTAAAGATATGAATTAAATTCCGATTATATAAATTTTTGGATATGCATAATATGAATTAGGACATGAAATTCATAATATAAATTGACTTCTACTGGTTTTAGGATCCACTTTTAAATAGTATTTTAAATTTAAGGGGTTACTAATTAAAATTTAAATATTTATCTTATTAAATTTTTAATGTATTTACCCGCGTATTAATATGGATTCTAATATAGTAAACATATAAAGTGTAACATCGAATACAACTATTATGTTTATTAGTTTATAAGCCGGAAAATAGTTTGGTAAGATTATTAAGTTATGCGTGGTTGGAGCGTACTGACCCATGAATCCCATCCAAGTGGTCTCCCACTAAATGTTGAATGGCTTTCCGTTGTCGTTTTTCTTTTTCGATTTGGGAGTATTTTTGGTGATTTGAAGAACAAAGAAATATGTGACAATGTGAAGTTTTTGTTTAGTGTTTTCATCCTTACTTTGTTTGGGGATGTTGTCTTAGCTTTGTTTAATCACCGACTTTGTAAATTGTACCCGTCCTAAAGTTATTAATAAAGTTTCGGATAATGCAACTATGATTTATTGTATTGACCACTCCAGAGAACAATGAAAAAACAAAACCATGGAATATATTTGACCACTCCTGTAATACTCTTTTTGGTTAAGTACTAAATTCATATGTTTTCCATTTTGTCAAATATCTGTAAGTGAAAGAAAAAAAAGTGTGTTTTTTCAACGTTTTCCATCGTCAAGTTTAAAATTAAACATAGGAGGATTAATAATTAAAACCTTTTCCTAAAACAGAAGTTTAGTGGTCCATATCAGTTCCAGGCAGCTTGCTCAGAATACAAGGTTAAGAAGTGATTATGTAACTAAGTAAAAGACATGAAGACAATAGATATATTTTAAAAGTCCTTACAAAAACATCCCCAATTAACTTAAATCCACAAAAAATATCCAATAATAAGTTAGAAACTTAACAGCTAGCTACACAAGTACAAGGAAGCACCTGAAACTACATGAGCCTAACAGATTACACACAATACATTGAAGTACAAACAAATCCCATTCCGTAAATCATTCCTACGATTCACATACGAAGTTCAAGTTAAACCG